AATTTGGCAACAATTTGGCAACAATTTGGCAACAATTTGGCAACAATTTGGCAACAATTTGGCAACAATTTGGCAACAATTTGGCAACAATTTGGCATTTGGAGGCCAGCAGGATGTGGTCCAGGATAAAGGTACAGAGCTAAATGGCCCATCCTCAGGTTGTGTCTCACAGCAGGCAGAGCTGAAGGAATGGTCCATAGGGACAGCTGTGCCAGAGGGAGGAGGGACTACCAGGAATCATCACTGCAAACTACTTGGATGATGTGAACAACTGGAACCAGTACATGGATTCATTCTCTTCAGGTGAGTTCCCTGAGCTGCCTTTCCCTGGGAACACAGCAGTTGCAGGGCTTGGGGGAGTTGCCATTCCCTTTGGTTTGCTTCTTTTCCTTTACATCCATCTCCTGCTGTAAAGTGGAAGCTGGAGTGGTGTCAAATGAAGCCTTGTGAGCGTTTTGTTGGTTTGCTGTTCCATCAGCTGCTTCTCCTTCTGTTTTGCGAGAACATGAAATTTTCTCCATGAAAACAGCACGTGGGATCCTACAGCCAAAATCTGATCCGGCTCTGGGAGTTATTATCCACAGTCAGACAAACCTAAGCTCTAGTTCTGTAGAGGAAATATGAAGATACTTTGATGGCTGAACTAGAGGGGTAGAAAAGCGTGAGTTTCTACTTTGGAATTTTGAACTGCACCTTGGAATTTTGAGCTGGACCAGTGGTAACTCCCAGCTCCTGGGAATGGGGCTGCTGAGGAGTGTGTGCCTCCTCCTGGGAGCTGCTCACACTGCAAGGACTTCTTGTTTTAACCCAGCATCTTCAGTCCTTTCCCAGTAGGAAAACACCTAAAAAACCTCTCTGTGCTTTCACTTTGTCTTTCCTGAGGAGAAAGGAAACTCCGGGTTTAAACACACAGGGAACAAATGGGAATTTGTGTCAGTGCCACATAAGGAAGTGAAAAAATCACCCTTGATAAGGGCACTTTTTATGTCACTGTGTGGTTGGGGGGGCAAGACTGGCACTGAGAACCTCTTTGTAGACCTGCCCTGGGTTGGTTTCCTTGTGCACAGTTATCCAGCTCCTCCCAGGAGAACTGGCCCTCTGCCCCATGCCCCAGCCTCCTGCCATCCCAGCAGTCCCCAGACTGCCCCAAATAGATATCCAGGGGCCTGTTCCAGCCACCTGCTCACTGCCTGTGCTGAGTGGCCAAGGGACTGTCCCTGTCCCTGCAACATCCATCAGTTTTGACTCCCATGCCGGAGTTGCTGGGATAAAAAATACCCAAATATTTCCTGCTGGTTCTTCTGACGGACTTTGAGGGGACAAAAGAAATGTCAGTCCAGCTCTGATTGGTGTGTGAGAGACTCTCTGAAAACACTCCAGGAAATAGGGGTTTTCTGGCTTTATTTTGGAGAAATTCACAAGTGTTCACGGGGAATTTGGAAGCCAAAACGAGTGTTTGCTTATGTGACTTGATAAAACAGCTTTGCACAACAGTCTTGATGGCTTGAACACTGAAATATTTGAATTATATGCCGCAGTAACTGTGCCAGTTAATCTTTGCTGCAGTTAACTGGAGTGAGAAAATCCCAGCTGGCTCGTCCTTCCCCTATGGAATATTTTATGTGTCAGTGGGAGACCGTTGGCATCTCTGTGATCCTGCAGCAGGACACAGGTTCAGTCAGATGCTGATCCTTTGCTCCAAGGTTAAAGGTTAGCTGATGCCTCATTAAAGCAGCTGGAGGAACCCTCATCCAGAGAGAGATTCATTAAAACAAGGAGCCAATTACTTGGCGGGAAGCTGCATGTGTTGGGGAGAAGTTGGCATTAAATTCCATGTTTGGGGACTTCAGAAACTTTTGCAACAATCCAACATTAAAAGCTTTTCAATTCACTAAGGTGGAATACATCTGCACGTATTAAAATGTTCAGCTGTTGTGCCACTGTCTCGTGCTCCGGGATAAACACCCCTTTTTAGCACAGATTTAAATGAATGCAAACTTTAAATGAATGCAAGCAGGCAGGTCCCCAGCTTTGTGCTGGGAGCACAGAGCAGTGCCAAGGTTAAACCAGTCTGCATTTCAGTTCTTCCTGACACTCATCTCTGGGTAAAGGCCTCGTGCTGTATTTGTGTGGATACTGATATTAATTTGCAGCCCACAGCTGGAAAACTGAATTATGCACGCACTTGGAAGTTTCTCTTGACAAACAGCTGCCATAACCCTGTTGCAAACCATGTCTGTTTGTTAAAATTTAAGTCAGGATTCGATCAAGAAATCTTTAACAAATTTAGAAATCACCTAAACCAAGGTCTTGCTTTTTGGGTGTAAAAAAACTTTCAGGTTTATCTCATGGATGTTTTGGATGATAAACGTGTCCGTGAGGGACCGTACGCTCCTGTTATTGCAGGTTTAACTACATATTTCTTTCTTTGCTTATTCTTTTTTAATTTTTACTGTACTTTTTTCCATTCTATTCCAGGTTGGCCTTGACCACATGGAATAAAACACAGTGCTGAAGTCCAACGTGACACAAGAAGTTGGTGTATTTATTTTTCTTTTTCTTTGAAATGTAGGTAAATTGAATCCTGATGAGGTCCCGTATTAATGATTTACAGACAAAACCCCAGAGCTTAAAAGAGAGGGAAGTGGCAATAAACTGACCCCGTGGCATCTGCAGCCATGTCTGGAAAGCCAGTGTGCATTGGTGATTTTGAGGAGTATGCTAAAACCTTCCTCCCCAAATCCGTGTACGATTATTACCGCTCCGGGGCCGATGACCAGGAAACGCTGGCAGATAACATGGCAGCCTTTTCCAGGTAGGAGGGTGATTGAAGGCTGGGGTGGGAGGTAGGGGGTGTGAGTTCTGCTTTAGTACTGCCTGTGGTGCAATTTTAGATTTTTCCATGTGAACAAAACTCAGTTTTTCTGCTTCTTTTTTTTTTTTTTTTTTTTTTTTTAGCAAGAAGAGTCTCAAATCACTGATTTTCAGAACCATTGTCTCTCCCCTCTCACTCCTCCACCCAACACTTTCTGTCAAAAATCCATCCCTAAAATCCATTAGCACCTTTTTAGCTCTCCCTGCATTTTGGTTCTTTTTTTTACCAGAAATTCTCTAGACCCTTCAGCTCCAATGTTTAATCAGCCAGTGAGCTGCTGGGACAGCTGCTGATGTCCCTTGCCTTGGGGTGCTGTGTTGGTGCAGACATTTAACCCCTGCACTTGCCTTTGCTAATCTCTAAAGGCTTTGTCTTTAATCCTCCTGAGTCTAACAAACCAAACCAAGATTTTTCTGATTTATCTTCAGTCTTTCTCCTTCCCCACTCTGCTCTCCTGCTTAGAGCAGCAATTCTTCTCGCTGCTCCAGTTGCTTTTCCATAGGCTGTGAGCAGCTCAGCTGGAAATCCCATACGAGCTGAAGGCTGTAGGAAATGCAGTGATAGTTTAGCAGGATCTCAAAGGCCAGATGGCAGGAATGGGCTCAGAACCTTCATTTTAAGGACACAGAGTGAAAAGCCTTATAATGTCAAGAGAAGAAAACTCACCTCTACTGTGACCACTTCTTCATGGCTTGCTCCTGCAGAAGCCATCATCCCAGGCTGGAATTTGCCTGCTCAAACACAAGCCAAAGGATTGCCCTGAGGGGTAACTAGGAGCAGGAAGGGGGGTAGCAGTGCTCACCTGAGTTTTATTTTATCTTTCTTGATGCTTCCAGATGCTCTGCCCTCGTAAAACCAAAATGAGACATTAAGGAAAGGACACTCGAAGGAAGGATTGGGAGGCCATAAACTGTCAGAGTAGTGAACGTTTTACTTGTGACTGCAGGAGCTAATAGTGATTAAACTGGGTCTAAACCTCCCAGAGACAGGCTAACAAAGAGCTGGGTATGTCCCTTACTGTGTTGGCATTAGCAGAGTTGGATGGTGGAGGTGAGATAAGGGATCTGAAGCTGCTTCCCACTGCAGGGATTGATTCCTGTGATAAAAAAAATCCTATTTTCTTACTATATGGGAAGCTGCCATCAACAGTCATGACACTGCGTTTGCAACCCATCTCTAAAAGGTAGAAACTGCTATAAAGGCTTCATAATATTTTGATTTCAAAGTCCTGTTTGACATGGACAACGTGTCAAATCTGTCTTTTTCCCTTGGATGCTGTCAGGAGGAGCGTGGCCTACCCCTTATGGATGCAGGACAGCTGCTCACTCTGCTCCTCACACAGCCCTGCTGTGTCTCTGAGCGGGTTTTTTCTGCCTATTCCCAAGTGCAGCTTGTAGGTCAATATAAAGTAAGTTGGACTTTAGACCCCCGAGTCACAGAGATCACAAAGTAAGGTGATTTTCTGAGAGATATGAGTAAGTTCAGCTTCATTTCCCATCGATCTCCCCTGTCAGAAGCTCGGCTGCAGGTTCAGCCTGATTCAAAATGTTTATTGAAATATTTATAGATACATAGTACCACTACAGGATGGAGGAATAAATAGATTGTTATTAAGGACTAATATAATTATTATTAAGGAGTAAGCTTAGATCCCACAATACCTTTGGAATACTGCATGGAATTTTTGGAGCAGCACAATTCATACTCGTTAGGTTATAAAATGAACGTCTTGGCTTTTTGACAGCTCGGGAGCTTCAAGTACTTTGTGTAATCAGATGCCAGAGTATAAACTGTCTCCACAAGGTCAGTGTTTAAGGTGAGGTTAAAACCAGGTATGGCCACTCTCTGCCAGCTTCCAGTTCCTCTGGGACTGAGGGAAGAAAGGGAACTCTTGTGTTGACATCAGTGTGGTCCTGCCAAGGCCAGATGAGTATTTTTTTTGTTCCTGGTTCTCAAGCCAAGGCACTGAGGGCAGGCAGGATGATTTGGGCTGTCAGAGCAGATGTTACTCCCTGTTGTTGACACCGGTGTGTCCAGGAACAGGCTCCTGCTAATCCGAGGAATCCCCGGCGGCCTCTGGAGGAGCTGCCTTGTTTTGTCCTGTGCAAGGAACAGCAGCTGCTGCTTCATCAGTGACAGCACCGATGTGGGTTTTCTGCAAACCTCGTAGCAACGAAAGGCACTAAAATGGGCACATAAGGAATTGAAATATTGGTTAGAAAAGCAAGGCTGCCGTGTCTTTCACCTCGGGTTCAGAGCCCTGCGAAAAGAGTGCGGATGGAAAGACACCCTGGGAGGGAAGATTGCTTTCCCTCAAGGAAAAGCAGCTCCTGGTTTGCCTGGCACAGCACCAGCCCCTGCCCCTTCTGATGGAAGTGGAGCTGTAGGGGGAGATTAAGGCAGCAAATCGGGTTGGGATGGAGACTTT